ACTGGAATGGGTCGCGTGCGCCTCCCACATATTTATAGATTTTATCTCTCTTTGACTTCGCCGAGGCGAGTAGGCGTTCGTGTACTCGCGTGCTGCTCGAGGAGGAGGAGGAATTCAGGGGGGGCAGGGACGAGGCGAAAAGCGGGAGAAAATTTTAAGAATGCACGTGATTTCCTCGAAGTATTTTTAAACTAGACAGGACTAATAAAGCGAATTTGTACGATTTTTTTTCGCGAAATTGCAACGATTCGAAGATGATCGATAGCTTCTTTGAGTCTCTGCCTTTTGTAAGTAACGAATCTCCGTTTGATGTGTGGCCACCAGAGGGCTACGCTCTTGACTCTCTCGCAAGCGCTTGACTGACCCCACCGTTCCTATATATACACTCCTCGACAGACTAGGAAGCCTTAGAGATGAGCAGACAATGCATGCATGAGGAGTGTGACACCTCATAGGGAAAATATAATAAAAACTCTGATTCTCTGAAATCGTGGGTGACGACATAGGGACGCGAGAGAAGGTTTTGGCTCGTAGAAAATCCGAAGCACCTTTCAAGAACGGCCTTTTAAACGGGTCCTCTCGTTATTTATTCAACGTTCCCGGTAATTTTCGCCCGGCTGTCCACAATAAAAAGACAAACATGGCCGGACAAGAGTGGAGAAGGCGGGGTTGTCGCGGGCTGTGCGTGAATGGGGGGGATTTTTCACGAGCCGCAGAAACGAAACGGCCAACTGAATCGGCCAATTGTTCGATCGTTTCGCACTGTTATTTTTATAATTCACCGGTATCCTCGATCTTTCCGCCGGCTCTCGTGGCGGCGCGGGGTGTTGTTTTTATTGGCCGCATTTAGGGAACGGATCAGGAGACAGCGAAAGGGACCAACGCCGAAGAGAGGCCGTGCAACAGGGAACCCGGAGCCTGTAAAGGCGAAAAGAGACGGCGATGGAGGGATGAAACGGTGGGAACGGGGTGTTGTTTCATCCCTCCTGACGGCCCCGTCTATTCTGTCCGGGTGCACCTACGTTCTAGTGCACCTAAACTAAGCCAGGGCTAGGATAGGTTGGTCTAAGGGAAGAAAGACACGATTTCGAGGGACGGAGAAAGCGACTGGAACCGGAGAGGGAGGGTAGAGAGAAGGGGGAGAGAAACGCGGAGGCGCGAGCACGGGGGTTGACAATACCACAGTCATCCAATGTTATTTCAGCACGAATTCCCTCCCTCTTCTTCCCTCCCTTCTTATATATCACCCTCTCACCCCTTTTCTTCTTCGTTTTTCGTTTCTTCTTCTTCCTCTGCTTCCCATCCTCCTCACCAGAAGTCTCTATAGACGCTGCACGATTCGTCCATTTCGTTCGCCGCGAAAGAAAACATCCCTAGCCTTTCCCCGACAATTATTGCTGCCTTGGACCATCCGCGAGCAAAGGGAGAATTATTATCGTTGCCGATGGCACCGATTCGACGAAGTATCAACGAACCTGTCGTTGGTGTCCAGGCAACGACAGCTGCGTTAAGACTTTCTATAGTCGCGGCCGTCATATTTGTTACTCGCTAGTTGCAGTCGAGAGACAGATCAATTTTATCGATGGTAATCCGGCCAGGCCGGTCGGGTTTTCAACGAGGAATCCCCGCTACCCCGTCGGTGTTGCAGTTCCCTAGCGCGTTTCTTCGGAAAGCCGTGGACGCGCGATCCCGAAAATTAGGCGTCACTCTTCCGGATTGGAAGGAGGCTTCTTTGTGCCTGAAATATACCCCGGGATCCCGAACGAGTGGCATCTGTAATAACAACGTTCGGTTCTTGCGGCTCTCCCTCTACGTACGCTGGGCTACGTGAACGCTACGTACGGCGGCTTTCCAGAAGTCTGATCAGCTGGGGAGCCGTATATCCATGCAGGGAATGCTGATCGAAAACGTGGGTCAGTAACGACAATGATATCAAACAGGTACACGTAACAGATCCGCAACAATCTGACGTTTTATAGATTTTATAATTACCTCGACACTATATTATTCTGGAAATAATCAGCACCGTAGAGTTCGGGGTACGACTGTCGACTAAGTGTTTTTTAACCGCCGGATAGTCGGTCAAGGAGGAGAGATATACCTCCGTGGCCCTCTGGTGGCGAGTACGAACAGTGACGGCACAGACGCCACTGGTATCTGAAATCCCATGAAACGATGTGTTAATTAAACGTGTTTACTTGTTTGGTGAAGTGGGTGTATCAAGAATGTTGCGTAGAGCCGAACGTTCTCATACTCCAGGTGTGCAAGAAGCGTGTAACCATAAGAAACATACAAATGGGTGTGCCAGTTGCTCGGAGAAAGGGGTTAGGTACGACCGATCGCCGATGATTCTCACGATCGTCGAACGTCTGAATGGAAACGGTACGAGACTGAATGAACCGAGGCGGGACACCACGAGCCGCGTTATTGTTTTGGTTATTTTGGCAGACCTAACACAACACGGTTTGTTGTTTAACAAAATAATTGATTTTGTCGCCTCGTCTTTGAACTATGGTTCCCCCCGAGTCCCCTCCTTCTTTTCCTTCTCGCTCGTTCGCGTCTACTTTCGGTCACTGTCTTTCGATTGCTATGTGCCACGTACGGGAGGCTCGCGTGCCAGATAGTTGACTGCTTAGGCAGCGTACAAAAACAAATTGTTCGATTCAGTTTGTTTATCCCTGACGAAAGTCTCGAATTAACGAGGCACGTCTTACTCGTTGCTTTCGGTAATTATCCCCTGCTACGATGACCTTGACGTATGGTTTCAAGGTCATGGTTAAAGAAAAAGTCCCTAGGCAATTGCTTGGTTAGTTTGCGTACGACCGAATAGTCTGTTTTTCCTCTCCCCTCGATAAAAGAGGGCAGCAATTAAGTTTTGAGGTTAATGGTAATCTGAGATTTATACCGGTGTCAAAAACACGCGGAATACGAAGCTCGACGACTGACGGTGTCTTCGGGTGTCCACCGTGGTTCAGTCATACCGAAGAGGAAAGGAGAGAACAGAGTCCTCCGGCCCTCTGTCGCCGCCTTTTTAAAGCCAACAAAAATATTGTTTTACGTAAATACGCGTCCGCGACGAACCACTTTTATCCTCTCCTTTTCACACCTTTCCAGCCGTAAGTCCGTGATTGTCATCGTTCTGTCGTCGAGAGCCCCTGCAAAAGCTACTACCAGAACACCTAAACGATCCCCCAACATTCGTTGCCCGTGGCAATTTAACAAATTCAACTTTAAAAATACATAGAAAGAGAATGAAAATAATAGTAAAAATTAAGTGTGGGTTTTCGTGTGCGCAAGGAGGGTTTACAAATCATCGCCGAACAACTGTAATTATCGGGGGTTTCGTGGTATCGAAGAAAATCGAGGTATCATCGAGTCATACACCACACTTCAAAAAGTATGAACGAATAAACGAAGAAGTGATCCATTAGGTAGGAAGCCTCGACTGACACCCTGACGCTATCAAAACACGCCTTAAAACTTATATTCCTGCAACGACGTGGTGGTAGTGGGAAAACTGTATACGTGAGATAAAATAACAGAGTGTAGTTAACAGGCTTGGGTAAAAATATTCACGCTAGCTTCCACCTCCCCTTTCTTCTTATTTCATTCCCTTTCTATTTTTCTCTCCTTACTTCTAACTCTTTTACAATTTCTTTTTTCTTCTATTACGATGAATCTTCATACGTCGTCTACATTATATGCGAAGTATTGTACGATTGATTTGATGGAAATTTCGTTCATCGATAGGTTATCTTTACAGAGAAGAATATTTTTTTTACGTGTAATTTAAACCATGATATGAAGTACGTGAAATAAATGTTTACAGCTAATGATACTTCGAGTATGAACGAAATATAAATTCATGTCTTTGTTTTCAATTATTCCATCAAGCAGTTGCGTAATGAATGGAGTATGCGACTTGCACGAGCGCAGTATAGCGAATCCTACACGAAATAATTCATAAAAGGAAACGTTTTTCGTGTATGAATATTACCTGTTGCTAATATAATACCGACTTCACGGAAGATATTCATCCAACGTTACCAGTATAGAGAAGAATAAGACCGCAGCGCCAACGAAACGACGGCCATTGCAGTCGAACAAGATGGACTCTTTCAACGAAATTAAAAATTTTCAAATCAATCTAAAAAAAATATTTACGGCCGCGAGGGTCAATTACAATCATTTTTTGTCATTACACGTACCCCCGAAATCCTACCCACTTTCGAGAAAAAAATTCGAGTAGGTGGACAAATTTTTTGACAAAATTGAAAAGTTTCAAATCGTTTTCAAAAAAATATTTTCCGTTGCTAGAGTCAATTAAAATCATTTTTTATCATTACACGTATCCATGAAATCCTACGCATTTTCGAGAAAAAAATTCGAGTAGGTGGACAAATTTTTCGACAAAATTGAAAAGTTTCAAATCATTTTAAAAAAAATATTTTCGATTGTGGGGGTCAATTACAATCATTTTTGGTGAATAAACATATCCCCGAAATCCTACGCACTTTCGAGAAAAAAATTCGAGTAGCTGGACAAATTTTTCGTCAAAATTGAAAAGTTTCAAATCATTCTAAAAAAAATATTTTCGATTGTGGGGGTCAATTACAATCATTTTTGGTGAATAAACATATCCCCGAAATCCTACACACTTTCGAGAAAAAAATTCTTTTTCGTAAATATCATGTGTGACCTGAAATTTGATGCGTATCTTTAAAGAATCATAACTTCTGAACAGATTGAAGGATTTTAAGATTTGAAAATGGACACAACGCGTATTTTGGTGGGGAATATTTAGAAATTCGAAGAATTTTGTAAAAGTTGTTCCTTAACCTCATAAACTAATACATTCTCGACTGGATTTCACTGGATTTCAAAGATGTCACTACAAGCGAGTCAGACGCCCAGTCTATAAGATAAACTGTGCATTTTATTAAATTTAATTAAGTAAAGTCTATATTTAACTACCATTGCTGCTACGTCTACTGAACCAACTACCCTTATCATTAAGGGATGTAATTTGTAAAATCTCGTGATTCTATAGTTTATTTACATGAGTTACAAGATGGCTGAAGAGGTTCATTGTATGCACTTTGTAGAAAGAAAAAAACGGTACTGTCGTATGACAGTTAGAAAAGGTAACAAGTATTGTGGTGAGCATCAAGGCCTTTCGTTAGACATTAATCGCGACACTAATGGGAGGCCTGAAGATAAAAGAGTGAAATGCCCTCTTGACTCGAAACAGTAAGTAAATTTCTATCAAGATCTATGTAGCATATACTAGTACATTTGTATAAAATTTATAGACCGTTTCTAGTACCTGCTATGAGTCAAAGTTATCCAAACACTTGAAGGTGTGCAATGCAAAGCAATTACTGGACTCCCAGCCTTCATTTATAGTAAAAGGGATTAATTTGGACAAGACATGCGAAACATCACAACATGTGCCCCTACATGAGCTCAATCAGCTTGTAATAGATGCTGTCATAAACAAAGTAAAAGATGCTTATGGTTGGTAACTTGCTTGTTTTTATATTTGCAATCAAAGATACAAAGTTTACAATCTCCTTGATACGTATTGTGAAGCACGAACCCTTTAAATTCTGCTTTTAGAAAAGTTACCACAATTTCCACAAATGGTATTGGAACACAATGTACTTCAAAGCAAAGTAAACGACGAATATTGTGGGAAAGCTGTTAAGAAACATTTGTTACAAAATTCGTCGTTGTTGTCGCATTTGGAACGCTCTGGTCTTGTACAAGACAATACATGTTTTATTGAATTTGGAGCAGGGAAGGGCAAGCTGACTTATTGGTTAGGGCAAATGATAAAAGATATGAAAGACAGTTGTATTCTGTTAGTAGACCGATCGAGTCACAGACATAAAAGCGATAATAAATTAAAGAACGAACAATCTTCTCTCGAAATAAAAAGGATCCGAGCCGATATCGCCGATTTAAAACTGAACGATGTTAGGGAAATTCAGAAGTTCAATTATAAGGTTGGTATTGCCAAGCACTTGTGTGGATCAGCTACAGGTATGTTCCTTATTACTACGTATTTCCCTATACAAAAAGACTGTACAGTGTGTATATGAAGGGTGTTACGCAAAATTTTCTTCCACAGATTTAACTATAAATTGTTTAGCCCGAGCAATGCAAAATGAACCTAAATGCAACATCACCGGCTTAATAATTGCATTCTGTTGCCACCACAGATGCGAATACGCGTCGTACGTTGGAAAAGAATATTTGGAACAATGTGGATTTACATCGAACGAATTTCCAATTTTATGCAGCATTGCCAGCTGGGCAACTTGTGGATCTACCATAAACAAAACAGCCATAAATCCAGATGGTCCAAACGATCTTAGCGACACAAGGTAATATTTCTAATGTCTAGTGTGTATTCGCGAAGAGTTCATTTTACAAAATACATGAAATCGAATTATATTTTCAAGAACAAGCGGAAAGCATTTAATCTCGAGCGAAAGAGAAAATATCGGTCGTAAAGTGAAATCGTTATTAAATTGGGGTCGTTTGAAGTTCTTGGAAACCATTGGATTCCGAAGCAATTTAATTTATTACACCACTACTGAAATATCCCTAGAAAACATGTGTATTATATCTACGAAAGACCAAATAAAGTGATTTATAAACTTCTGAGATTTGTGACCTTTGTACATAAGCATTAATAAATTACAATTTTCTTAACACCGAATAAACTATTCTTTTCACATTTTCCCAAAGATAAAAATCGAGAGGTGTTAGGTTTGGTGTATTAATTAATTAAATGTGCCAAGTACAGATTCTGTTCGAAAACGAAGCCTTCCACGAAATGTCGTTTTTAAAGCAAACGTCCCTAAACTGAACACACTCATTGCACAGCAGTGTTACCACAGCACATTCTGCAATATACAACAACGCCCCGCCCAAATATAATTTAGTATAACATGATCTAACAGATTCCAGTGCATCAAGCGATGCATGTACTTTACACGTAAATAAATATATCGTTGCATTAATGGTACCAGAATTGCATTGCATACGATCTTAGTCACCAAACATTCTATCAACGATCAAAATAAGGAGGCGTCGGTGGATACAAACTACTCAACGGTACGTAGCGTATTAATATGTTGACTTCGTCGATTCATTCGAGATTCTCTACATTCATTCTTCTCGAGAGATTGTTTCGTAACTTGTAAAGTATATCAGAAAAGTTATATCTCTTACTAAAATCGTTATCGAATGTACGGTAGAATCGATCTTAACAGTGATACGTAAAATTCAAGCAATTTACATTAACCGTAATTTCGTAATGTTGACCTCACGCCACGCCTTCGTTAATGCGTGGAGTGTTTCTCTCTCGACAAATTATTTTTATGAATTATAGAACAATCTAATGTATGTTTGTTGTCTTTGTTGTATTATTTCTGAAGATTAGAAAAAAGTTTCTCTTTCAGTCGATGTTTCGAATTCATAAGCTCGTCAAAAAGCTCCATGTACTGAGGGGAAAATCGTCTTTGTCTTTTTCAGAAGAATCTCAGTCTAAAATTTATAAAAAATGTCCATTTTAGACGAGCGAGAGGATTACCTGAAGAATCCCTTATTCGTGAAGCACGAGTACGGCGACTTTACTCCGTTTTATGTTACTGTTGGCATCTGTTCTGTGGTATTTGCTGTCCTGTGTATTTTGAACCTAGGATTTTGTTTCTGTTCGCGGCATCGAAGTTACTGGCAGAGTCCCCATACCGGTGAGTCTTTTATCAAGTTTACTTTAAAATATTTCATCTATTTGAAATATTTTATTTACAGCAAACTCAAGTCTCAAGATGATTTCGTTATTTTACATAATTCCTTTCCCCATTAGGAAACAGGTGGATTCAACCCTTGTGGACAGTGTTGCCGCACAAAACACCACCTTTAGATTTAAGCGAATTGGAGCCAGGACGTAAAGTTCAGCCAGAAACCCGTGCAGTCTTGCAATACCATAACCCAGAACCATATACAACTGCACCGCAAACAGAAGAGTACATGGAGATGCAAAAACGTGAGAGTGAAATTTAATTATACAGTAACAAAAAACGAAATAATATTAGATCCGATACCATGCATGTAAATGAAGATAAGAAAGTTTGAAGAGTATTAATATCAAAGTAGAAATACCGTTTCTATTTCTCTGTCATATATATCAAACTGATACATTGTATAGTCAAAGTTACGAAATAAGCGTATAAAGTACACGGGATAAAATTGAAATTTTTGAAAATAGTTTAAGTAGAAAATTACGCCAACATGGGACTACACATATTTTGGCCAGCATCCACGTGTCTGGCACTTTTCGTCGTTTGCATTATAATGGTTATGCTAAAGTATGGATCGCAAATTTGCAAATTACGTCACACGGCGCTGCCGTCTGATCAGGAATGGGAGGGGAAAGCATATTCTCGAAAACTTTCTGTCTCTATGGCGTAAAACTAAGTAGATATCACCACATGTTTTCAAATATCCGTTTGCCTTGTATTGAAATTTAAATCAAAATTTATCGTAGTCTACACGAGCATATCGAAGCGTAACATTTTACATTTCTATAAATGCTGTTTAAGCGACCCAATTAAATGCTCTATATCTTTTATATATCACTTTTTATACATAGCATGTAAGTAATGCTAATAATTCCGTCCATTAATATAAATAATCATAATTTTGATAAAAATTTCACGTACGATGTGTATCGCGAAAATTTGTCAATATAATTGTTCGTTAAATAATCGCTTTTTACTTTATAATGTGCCAGTAAGCTGATGATTCGTACACGGAATAATTTCAAATTTTTGCTGATACATTTTGTAAAAAAAAAAGACAAGTTGTTTACCTGTTGGTAGTGAATATTTTAGAGGTTAGAGGGTGATTGTACGAGCCAAAATAAAACGAAAATCAGCTCTGTAAATATTTACTACCAACAGATAAACACCTTGCATATAAAAATATCGTGAACGTATCAAAAAGTGTGATTGTTGAAAACAAGGAATTGTATTCGCCCTACTTTTAAATATTTTACACATTGCTCATGTAATAGCAATTTTATTACCGTCCAAAACCTTTGTAATTTTTATATGTATTTTTTGACAAATAAAGAATACTTGTCTTTGCGTAAAATGAGTGTGTTTTTAAAACAAATTTATGTGATATCAACAATTACTATAAGAATAATTAAATATACGTATCGTCCTTCCACGAGAAGAAGGCACAGCGTGTGTTTCCATCTCCATTCTTGCTGCAGTCCGCTGATTGGCTGTCACCGATCTTCGTCACTGTTTTCGACCAATACCTGTGAGTCAGCAGACTGCAACAGGAATGGGGATGGAAACACGCTGTGCCTTCTTTTTGTGGAAGAATGGTACGTTAAACAAAGATTTCCCAACGTTCGAGTTAAAAATGCGATTTCTGATCACTATTTTATATATAATATTTAGTTTTTATTGACAACATTTGATTTTTATTACATGTGTAACAGTTACACAATTATTTAATAAGTAGATACATTATACAATTTCTGCGTTCAGTTATAACATCAGCTTGTAAATAAATCACTGACGATTTTCCACGAACTACGAGATATTTGATTTGGGAAATGTGTAATTTGATTCGATTGCCTAAGCAACTAAAAACCTTCGACGTACTTTCTACCAATGCATCTTTCCCGCGAGCCTTTTCTTAATCAACCAAACGCAATCGCGAATTATGGATCTGCAGCAAGAAACTCGTCCAACGAAAAAAAACACCGAACAAAATCTCTCTTCGCGACGATTCGATTCTGCTAACGAGTTTAAAAACTATCAAATATGGTCGATGATTAAAAAACTTTTAAATGACACGATCGGAACGACCGTCACCACCGTTGCGAAGGCATTTTTTTTTTATTACGTTGCGAGAACAGCGATGGATCAAATTTAAAAAGCAATTAAACGCTTCTCCATTTACCATGAAACTTTCCTCGCATTAAGAAGACGGTTAACCTCTAATTAGTAGCGTATTTTCTTCTATCGTTCTGCTATGTTACAATGCAGTTAAAACACGGAGAACTTCCATCGAGTTCCACACAGAGAGGATGAAGCAGTGTTAATAATTATGCTTAGTAGACGTTTAATGATAGTAATTAGAAGAGACCATAGAACGTAGACAATGCTATCCTTACCCTATCGATAGATTAGTTTTTACCTTCATTTTATGCGTAATGATGATATGGTGTATATACGTAATCTAGCTACGATCATCGATACCGACCAACACCACCATCAAATCCATGTATGTCGCGTTCGTCGAACGTTCGTACACGGACTTATCGCGTGCACTCGGTATCGTAGCCCGGATCAGCTGACTTTATTTAAACGGAATACTTCTTTTTTTTTTGGTTTTTTTTTTGTATACATCTAGACTTAAAAACAAATACAATCTTGTATCTGGGGAAAGGTTTGATTTCTATAGTTTCAATGGAACGTCTCGTAGGGACGAGTCCCAATAATTAATATCAGCGTCCCGGCTCTACGAAGACGCTTGACACTTTTCCGTTATGTTCATTTGATTTTCATGCTCATTTGGCTTTCGTTATTATTTTAACTTTTCCATTCAGAGATAATACGAGACACATATAACAACTGTATATAGCGACGTTTCTTCTTCTTTTTTTTTTTTTACGCAAAGGGATACGTCTTGTTGAGAGGGATCGTTAATACAATATCGGAGGAATGGTAGTAATTATCAAATCGTACTTATTATATAAGGCAGCGGTTCCCAAACTTAGGGACACGACAAAATCGTTTCAGAGTCTTCCGTTTACAGATTTACAAACATTTTCCGATTCGTTCTTCTTTAACGTTCAAAAATTATTATCATCTATCTCGTTCGTAGAAAAGTCGCGTTTCTTCGTTTCTCTCATCAGCATCGTCGATTAAAACTTTGTAACGTACCGTCGACACCGGCGGTCGAGTACCAATGAAACGTCCGAAAAGTTTAGAAACCGTTGGATGCGTACAAGGACATATGTAGTTAACATCAAACACTGTATTTTATTACCTATGCGAAAAATCGAGAGAATATATCTTTATCCACAAACATTGTACCTGGTTTTAAGTGTAAACACCGCATGTCGATGAAAGGGAACCGAAGTGTCAGCTTGAAAACAACCGTTACGATAAGGAGTGTGCGTGAAACGAAAAATCAATGGATTCAAAACTAACTACCGAACGCTCGCAATCGACGCCATCTTTATTTTTTTTCTCCTTTTTAACCAGAGGAAGACAAAGTTAATGAACATCTTAAAACACACAGAGATCGTACGACCGTCTTTTTTCTTTCCTGATACGCTACACGTTATTTTCTAATTGGGGGATTTCTACGCGCCCTACAGTGGATAAATCGTATTAACGCTGAAAACTCGAATGGATCTCCAACGATGTATATTCTAGCGAGAATATCTTTCATACAGGATCTCAACGGCAGTCGTAATATTCATGAAACTAGAAGTTTTCTTTTTTTTTTTAAATCGATCGTCGAGACAGTAGCACGGTGTGTCGGAACGCACGTGAATTCGCAAAATTACCTTTTCTTTTTTTTTTTTTAGATACATTTGGGGGGGGGGACAAAGTTTGCCTTGTTAGTCATACGTTTTGCCGATTATTTATTTACACGTAACAACGCTTTATGCTTGGCTTCGAAAGAGGAAAAAAAGTAACCGACCTCGCTGCGCTACTGTTTCGAGGTTATGGTTCAATATTCACACGTAAATCGGTACACAGTAATTTCAGCGTCGGCGGAACCGCTAAGAAGAGCATTATCAGGTTCACCTATACGCTTTAGCACGCCCGCATCGCGACTAATGACATTTGGCCACGCATAATGGAAGTGATTCTGAAAACATCTAACACGTATTGTCGATAACCATTACCGACGAACGGATACGCGCCAACAGCAACGCTCGAGAGAATACAGTATCGGGAATTGTTACGCGAATACTATATCGCGCGTTGCTTTCTCGATTATTTTCTAGATAGCGTTTGAAAACGATTTTCCTTCGAATTACGATCACCGTCAGTAAACTTTCGAACGCAGAATTTTTCTTTCCTGCTGTCGGTTGTTGTTTCGTTCGATTACGCTCACGCTAAACAGTATTTATTTGAAAATTAAAAAGTTTCACGTCAAAAAGACAAGATTGTATTTTCGTTGCCTGTTGTCGAAACTTTGCTGCGCACTCATCGAGTGACTGATCGACGACTTCACCAACTTACTGCTTACCCGACTTCTTATTCGATCGTTCACCTGAAACAGATGAAAATTATTTTGTTAGATTAAATTTTTCCAAGCTCGTGGTCGGTGTTTTTCGTTTATTCTCAATAATTTTTACTTTTCTTTCCTGACAATAGGTATTTAGCACGTAGGCTGTACTCTAACTTCGAACCTAACCTGTACCCACATTTATGATTTCTTTTTTACAAGTTTGATGCAACGAAGGCGTGCTACTATTTTAGAAATATAACAAAGATAGTTATTTCGAAGAACATTTTGCCCCCTTTGACCCTGATTTAATGCGTTAGTTTGTTTACGCGGTTGTTTCGCGAGGTAATGGATTTTTATTAGATACAGAAACACGTCCTCCTTGGACCAGAGTTCCCCTGTCTATTCAGACGTTTACGCGGCACATTTATTGCTTCTTTTGTCCGTGACCCCAAGGAGACGCTTCAATAACCTATCTTTAACTCCGTCAATGCCATCGTCAAGCGTACTCGACGAGGCGAGGTGCCGTGACACTAGTGTCAATCTCGAGTACAACTAGAGTACAACAGACCACTGAGCCCCAGACAATGGGGTTGTTGGCGTCGTTCAATAAAATTTCAAGGAACTTCCGTTTTTGCGTCGTTTTACCAATGACAAATTGCATACCTTCGGCTGCTATCCGTAAAACTGGAACTCGTCCCTAATTTTCTTCTATGACAACGCCTACTGATTTTACATCACGAACAATTTTGTACGAGGAACAATGGCGGATATAAAGGAGGGGGAAGGTTGCAGGGGCTTAAGTTCTCCATTCAAACGTAATTAAATGTCCAAAATAAAATGACCGAATTTAAGTAATAGTAAATAATATTTTTCTTTGCCATTTTTTATGCAGAATCCGATAGAGGGAAAGATTTTTATTTTTCAAACACCGTGATATGAAATGACCTTGACACAATCCAAAGTCACGGGGGAACAGACGATAATCAAAGTCTTTATTACTTTATAAAATGATCGATTGATCACACTAGTGAAATACTAGATTGATGAGTATCATATTTGTTTTATACAATATTATACGTAATGTACAAAATTTTAATCGTCAAATATCGAAAGCATGAAATTTAAGAATTGTACAGTTCCATTGTAATTTAATAATTTCGAGGATATGTATTTATGACGACATTTTTCGTACTCTCCACCATAGAGCCCTCCGTAAGATCCAATATCCGCAAGTTCTCGCTTTTCCACAGGTTGCAATATACCGATCGTTTGTCCAAGAAATGGACGTCTCCGCAGTTGGGACAGGTTTTAGGTAGCCGTTATTGACGACTATACTATATTAGGGATAAAAGGAATTGGATACTGAAGGTCATTTTAGGCATCCTTTCTCAGCAATACCGTTTAGCAGAAACGGGAAAAATTCTTATAAAAATAAAAATATCCAATAACAAAATAAAAACTAAATAACTGTTTATCCATTGCTTTTTACTGAACTCGTCTTCTAGGAGGAAGCTGCATTTAAAAAATGCAACGTAGCATGCGTTACACCTAAAATAATCGTGGTAAATAATTTTGTTAAAATAATAAATGAAAATTCAGCCTTGGTTAATTCGGTGTAGAAGAAGAAGCAATTAGGAATACCTTTGGTGGTCTTCTTGGTATTGGTCTCCGGTTTACACCTCTTTGTGAGCCGGCGCGTCTTCTCGCAGGCGGAATCGCTGTTCACCTTCAAATTGTCCACTCTCGTCATCAGCTGATTCGCGCATCCGCTCCACGTGCCCTTTTCGTATCGGCAAGCTGCGCTCCCCGCCAAGCAGAGTTAATCTCACCGCCATAAACTACCATTTACGTTCACCCACGGTACAAGTTAACGGCGGACAACGGTGCATCTCGTGTTACGAAACGACAAGATCGTCGTGATTCCCCGACGAACCCTATTCAAGCGTTCTTCGTGCGAATGGTTTCCGAACTGTGCCGAGTGGTGTCGCTCGTAACGAATTTCATCCGCGCCTAAGAGCAGATGACCATAATGACACCTCGAATCGATGAACCACGCGTCACCGTCACCGAGCGTACGCGTGTTTGCAAACCGATAGGATTCTTTGCCCAAAGAACGTTGCATTTACAATTCCAACGGTAACGCGAACGCGACAGCCGCAGAGAAACTTTGTCGTCGCATAAATCCCAAAATATTCCCAAGCTGTCGCCCGTAGATCAGAATTCTGTATGTCGCGCTTAACTCGATCGGAAAGGTGGGGGGAGGCGATCAACTGGCGTCCATTAAATTAAAAAGTCCACCCCCCCCCCCTCCCTCCCTAGCCCATCAGCATTTTTCTGCGCGTTGAACGCGACGAGCCTGCGTTTGATGGCGCGGCTCCAACGAGCTTTAACCGCCACCCGTTCTCTTTCTTCTCTTTTTCCGTTTTGTCGGGCACGCTTCACGGCTTCCAGGCGTGTAATTCGACACGAACAATAACACCGTGGTCCGCGCGCGCGAGCCGAGCGCCCCAATGGCGGCGAAAGGAGTCACGAAATCCCTGCCGTCTCGTTGGATTTATCAAGCTTATTAAGCCGAAACGAACGCACCGTTGTCCGAAATCACCGATAACTGGAACGCGACGTGTCGTTCTTTTGGCTCGTTTAATTAATTAAGACGTTCCATCGGGGAGGGTTTCTCGCTAATTAGCAGAGTCCATTAAGCCTCGTTCTATCTAAAGAACGCGGCCATTCAATCGTGCCAGGCCCCGGTAGATTAAACTGTATTAATTAGCGAAAGACACGTCGGGCTGCTTACGATCAATGGAGAATAAACGTGTCCAGTCGATTCTTCCTGCTAGGTATGTCCAATTGATTCAATTAGTCCTGCCAAGGTACTCAATTTATGGTGTCCTAACAAGCTCCGTGAAACGGAGCTCCCGTGTTAGGCGCTGGGCCATTTTATAGAAACTTTTTGAACGAATTTCAGACACGTTGTAATCGATAATAAATTACGCATAGAAAATTGTTTAACGCGATTATTTTTATGCAAAATCTTGGTGGGTAAAACGCTCCTAGCAGTCTAGAAAAATTATACGCGTTCGTTATCAGGTTTCTTGCAGATTTAACAGTGCTTCGTCCGCCATTCTATTTACGGGGTATTGGAAAAGTCATTCCTCGTCAACGAAGGTACATGGAAACTAACGAAGCAACGTTTGACTGAAGGTTTTTTCTTGTTGTCGAGGTATTATATATTCGTAGGGATCCGCAGTAAGCTTTTCAATAAATGAGTAAACTTTTACACAAAGGGTACGTATATTACTCCATTGTCTCGCGCTTGTTATCGGTAGACTTATCTAGCTGTACCATTTAATGAACGTACCATTAATGAATAATCGAAGCATTTTAAAATATTGGACGTTACTGATAACAATACCTTTCTTGCACTTCTTCTCGATGGTCTTGGTCTGCTCGCAGGACTTGTCGCCCTTCTTAAGGTTCAGAGTACGGGATCGTGTGTTGGTTTTCGGGTCGCAATCCGACCATTGACTCTTCGAGTATTTGCACGACGCGGTGCTGCCGGATGCTAAATCAACAGATGCAAAACGTTAATAGAGATAATTGAAGACACCATCGATCAAGTGGACTCTTAATCAAGGAAAAACAGTTGACTCTCGGGACACTGTACCGAGACACAGCGGACGACATTTAAATAAAAACATTAACAATTAGCAGTATGCTTTATTAATTGCCAGATCCACCTTCATATTTTCAATCTTGCTCTAATATATTACAATTGCAATAAACCGTTTCGACAACCGCGTCTCGATGATAGAAATCCGTGTTACAGCAAACCAGGCTCAATGCAGCCGCCATTGTAGGAAATTGTGTTACTCGCAATCTTGTTACAGAAAACCGTATTACACGGAACCTTGTTATACGACAACCCACGTTACTTCGAAACGGTGTTACAAAAAGCCGTATTGCACGAAACAGTGTTTGTTACGCACAAATGGATTAAAACCGCGTTTTACGAAAGCCTGCAGCATTTTCACCCGTCACCGATAGTACTAATTTGCAACGGGACCTGTATAATTTCCGTTTACGAAGTTGGTTTCGTATATTTTTGAAAATTTCTATAGAAGAAGAGGGTACGAACCGAAAGTGGAAACGACGAGATTTAAAATTTCCACGCGATGTATTCGAAGTGGAAATTGTCAACGGCGCGCGGCGGCCATTTCTGAAAGGACGCTGGAAGAAAAGCTCCTCCGCGACCCCGGAACCCCGCGGATTCCTGGCCAGAATAAATTTCTAAGAGAACCAAATGATCTTAGCCGACAATGAGACGCGTCGCGCGTCGCTGGATGATATTTCAATTGTATTCGAGATCCTGGCAGCGGGAGAGAAAGCCCGAAAGACGAGAAAGAGCCGCGCAGAGACAAAGGGGCTTTTCATCTGTACGACCAGAGGGGGGCCACGGGGTTCGCGAAACGACGCTTCAATTCCCTGGGCGTTCTTCGCCCCCCGCGTTATCGACGGAAGGACACCAACCCTCGGGGCTGTTGAAAAAAAAATTCTGACCACGGTGACTCACTTTTTTTCCCCTTCAAAAATAACCTCTATCGCGAAGCAACCATTTCTCTACAAGTTACCAACCTTTATTACCCAACCCCTTTACGAAGCTATACAATTACAGCGCTAGAAATATTCTGCTGCAAAACCTTTGACAAAATCAATTTTTCTTTGTTTTTTTAACTTTACGAGAATATGATTTTCAGTGTTGGGTTACTTGAATTGTATTCCGAGTAATAGCGTTGTTGTAAGGTGTAGGATAATTGCTGGAAAACTGAGCTGAAAATCTGTGCAATTATCGATGTAATCGATCCAATAAGTAGAAGCCTCACTTATACCATATACTCTCACTACTTAAGTTACTACTACCTGTTACGCCCATCTCCAACGTCACTGGTTGCTAAGTAACCACCCCCCTTCCATTTGTCAACACAACACGACGAACGAAATTCTTATGCAATTATCGAGGTTTCACTTATCGAGGGATCCGTTGCAAGAGGTAAATTTAACGTATGCTTTAACGGGACAAAAAATTCTATCTCTCAAGATAACCAGATTTTAATAACCCCACTAGCATGCTTCAACGGAGTAACAAGCTTTTTTATTTTATTTACGAATACGATAATGGAATGTTTACTATTATATAAATCGTTATTGTACATATTGTTTAAGGTACGTTCTCTTTATAAAAACCACGCGAGTTTGTGCCAGGAACGTTGATTAAATAACATCTATCAAACAAATATTGATTTCATCGGAAATATTGGCGTACACATACGCACATGATGAAGCGATATGAAACGGAAATGGATCTTTTTTATTAAAATATTTTTATTAACAACACAATATTTTTTGCAAAAGGTGGTATCGCCTTTGGTTTATACATTTTATTACTATTCCAATATGTTACCTTTTCATTTAATTCGAATTCGAAGAGGACCAAAATTCCGTGATGGAAAACTTTGAGAAAAAAAATTGCGTTAAAAAGAGTTTAATGCTGGTAATCGAGACTCTGAAGCGTTTGCATAATTTAATAGACAAAGTGCATCGTCCCCCAACATGAGGTTGATGGATTAACGCCGGCAATATAATTTTCATTATTCTTAACGCAACATCTCGACGAGCTAAAAATTTTAAGCACAAAACCATTAAGACGCTCTTACATAAATCATCAAAACTTTCATAATTGGCTGCTAAAGCTTTGTTAAAAATTTATCCGCCAGACTTTCAACTGGCCTGTTCTTCCCTTGTATTCGCGGGGGCCATCGAAAGTCCGAGCAGCGCCGATAATTAATTAAATCGCACGGGAATATTCGCTGCTGCGTTAAAAACGATCGAACGTTTCGTTTGAACAGGGTGTTTGGCCACTCCTGGGAAAACATTTTAATAGGAGATTCTAGAGGCCAAAATAAGACGAAAATCAACAATATCAATTTGTTGATGGAGGCTTCGTTAAAATATTATTAAAAAATTTCAAATCGTTCTGGAAAAATTATTTTCGGATCTGGGGGTTAATTACAATAATTTTTGGTCCATAGACATACCATCGAAATCCTACGCACTTTCGAGAAAAAAATTCCGATAGGTAGACGAATTTTTCGGCAAAATTAAAATATTTCAAACCGTTCTGGAAAAATTATTTTCCGTTGAGGGGGTCAATTACAATCATTTTTGGTGAATACACATACCCTCGAAATCCTACGCACTTTCGAGAAAAAAATTCCGATAGGTAGACGAATTTTTCGGCAAAATTAAAATATTTCAAACCGTTCTGGAAAAATTATTTTCCGTTGAGGGGGTCAATTACAATCATTTTTGGTGAATACACATACCCTCGAAATCCTACGCACTTTCGAGAAAAAAATTCCAATAGGTAGACGAATTTTTCGGCAAAATTAAAATATTTCAAACCGTTCTGGAAAAATTATTTTCCGTTGAGGGGGTCAATTACAATCATTTTTGGTGAATACACATACCCCCGAAATCCTACGCACTTTCGAGAAAAAAATTCCAATAGGTAGACGAATTTTTCGGCAAAATTAAAATATTTCAAACCGTTCTGGAAAAATTATTTTCGGTTGAGGGGGTCAATTACAATCAGTTTTGGTGAATACACATACCCCCGAAATCCGACGTACTTTCGAGAAAAAAATTCCAATAGGTAGACGAATTTTTCGGCAAAATTAAAATATTTCAAACCGTTCTGGAAAAATTATTTTCGGTTGAGGGGGTCAATTACAATTGTTTTTGGTCAATAGACATACCCCCGAAATCCTACGTAGTTTAGAGAAAAAAATTCTTTTCCGAAAATATGCTGTTTGGCCGGAAATGTTTCTATAACTTTTCAACGAAGCCTCAATTAACATATCAGTATCCTTGATTTTCGTCTTATTTTGACCTCTAGAACCTCCCATTAAAATTTTCCCCAGGAGTGACCGAACACCCTGTATATACATCACGGGGGTTTATACCACCGCTTTTATTGAACGATCGAGCGCAATACGTATCACGAATATTAATGAAACTGTACTTTACGATCGACGATAATGCAAGGTTACGGTCGATGAGGTGTTTAACGCGTTTACTGCCACGGTGGTTACTGGTGATCGGCCATTTCAAACTTGCGTGTTGCAAAATCGTTTACAGCGGAAGATATACGCGTCAACATATAATGGCGGTGGCATGCACTCACGAACATGCGAATAATTATATTTTCCGTTGTCTTTATTACGTTTTTTTTTTTTTTATTTGAACCCAGGGAAAGTCTTTATTATGCTATATAGAATTTTTGTAATTTAATAAAAGCGTATCACGAATTCCGTCGCACCCTGTCTACGGCGAGCAAGTTGGAATTAAGAACAAACTTCACGCCCCTCCGATTCGAACCCTTCTAGTTTAAATTCATGACTAATCAATAAGTAACACTCGTAAGCCTTGCTCGGTCACGTGAGTCCGCGAGGCAGGGGTAAAAAATTCCGACAAACGGAATCCACGGTAACGTGCATTGAAAAAATTTTACGTCAACGGTGCAAGAAAATATCTATAAACTTTGATTAATAAATCTGACGCTTCAGTACCCCGTTCTTTGGTGCCGCGAACGGTTCGCACAAGAACCTCTTTGTCGTCCTCCTCCCAGAGATCGGACTCCGCCTTGACGTTGACGACGATCATCAACAGGGTGACACCTACCAGCGCCAAACTCCACCACAGCTTCATTCTGTAAAAATAAAAGAAGAAAAAGTAACGCCTCGTTAATCTTCGACCTGTAATTAGCGTCGTTTTTAATGATTACACGTCGCGACAAGGCACGGCTGGATGGTCTCGAACAAACACGCGAGAAGAAAACGTATTTACACGGAATCGTCGTTTTCTCGTCTATCTGCTTCGAAATTACCGTTTCGTCACAATGCTCGATACAATAGAACCTCGATAAATGCAACTTCATTATCGCGCGCGAACCTCGTTCGTTGATTAGTAAAATTGGACGCCATTTTTTGTTTCGTCTTAATGCTCCCACCATATTTACCAAAAAGAGTACAAGTTCCGTGACTCGAAATCTTCTCCAAAACCCACGACCACACACGCCTGAATTCAAGCAAGAAATCGTTTTATTTTATTTCGTCGGATAGATATAAACGTAACAGTGGCTCATGCTACGAATTTCAGCAGCGTTTGCGACAGTACTTTCTACGCGAACGAGCTCGAAGTTTACGAATGGAAAAGTTCATTCGCTTTCCTGTCTCTGGAGATTCTGCCGTGGGAACAGCTGATACGTCTGCGGTTTCGAAAATCCCTGGCGCTATTGCACACACTGGACTAGAAACTAGGTTGACGTTTTTACGACTTGAACGCTAATTTGATCGATCGAACGGTGGCCTTGCGACCACCACGAAAGGATTCTTACGATCGATCGAATTAAGACGCGGCGCTCGATGTCTAATTTAATGGAAACGCGAAAATTAACGTGGTACACGCTTCGACCGTTAGAACTAGAACAGAATTAGGTCTGATGGACGTTTCTCCGTTGCTGGACTCGAAGAGGAGAATCGTTTCAACCGCACGTCAAGCAAACGGTTGAACACCGAGGCGAATGTATTATGTTTTGGGGATGCACGTCTGCATTTGGCGTTGGTCCACAGAATAGAAGGCGCGACGAATTATATTATAATTACTATGGATCTTATTTGGGTCGACACACCGGTTTAAAATCGAAGAAAGGTTTACCAATGTCAATATAGAATTTGATCGTTTCTCTGTCCGCTCTCGTTCGCTGTGCCCTTGAGACTGACTCGCTCGACTTTCTTTCTTTCCCTTTCGCACTTTCGTCTCTCGCTCGATTCTCGGAGATCCACGCCGCACACTTTCTTTGTTTACGTTCACGCTTATATCGAAGATTCAACCAGCTGCTCTGGCCTTCGTCCTGTCGATTCTCGTAGACGTCTCATATTACGAAGTTCCAAGAACTTTTTGTCGAGCATGCTCTCACACTTCCAACCGCCTCCTACGAAAATACTGCCTTCTACGCGTTGATTTTATATTAATCAGATATTACGTTCTTTTATTTTTTTATTGTTTTACTTTTATTTGGCGTAAGATTGATGCGAATTACGATCCTAGAGTTTCCTTTATTTACAGAAATTACCATTATTCTGCCATTATTTTACATAAAAAAAAGATAAATTTGCGTCGAAAGAAACCGAAATATTTAAATTCCGACCGTGGAGCAACGCTTTCCAGGCCATTGTGCGAAACCCAGCGCGAGCCAGACCATGCAAAATGGCCCCCCCGTTGGCGAGCGTGTTTTCAACCCATCGTTCCACGTAAGTGCCGTAAATATAATTTAACAAGAAGACCAATAATTGTTAAAACTGCTTTAAACGGTCCCACCGGTAATTACTGGCTATCCATGGGAGCGCCGCGATAGAGCGTCGCGTGTAATTAAAACAAAGACTGGTTAAATAAACGGGCAACCGTTTTCTGCCTCGATACCGAACAAATGAAAATTTACCGCGACCCGGGAGGAATATTAAATATCAGGCTCGACGCAACGGTTGCAATGCAGATGTACGTGTACGGGTTAAATCGTCATGTTAATTAATAGGGAAGTGCGGGGGCGAGAAAATTATACAGAAAGCAATTCGCCCGCCCTTCCACGGGAGGAAACGTTCGTTTGTCTCTTACACGCGCGCGCCACAATTACTGAAATCTTTTCCATTTGCGTCAACGATTTCGACAATCAATCCCAATGAAACAATGATACACGTTTATCTCGTTACGCGAAACTGCTTTATGGTATAATCGATCGAACTTGTTCGGACAATAAACCCCGCGACGACGCCCTTACCGACAACTATCGTTCTTCGTTCGAGAAAGACATACGAATAAGAGCCGCCATTTTGTAACGAGTAACGGATCCGTAAAAATTTTGAAAAATTAAGTCCAAGCTGACCAAGCAACAGTTCACGTACATCGAATTAATTAAACCCGGCAGCTGACGAAGGATAATTAAAGGAAAAGTAAACACGACCATGAAGTAGGCTGCAAGACAAAACAATGAGACGAAGAAACGTGTTTCGCGGTGTACCGTGAAAATCGTTTTACGTACGAAGAAAACGGGGGCGGAAAAGTCGTACCGGAAAATTGAATATTTCCGTGGAATTAAATACTAAGTGTCGTTTAATTGGCCGGGTGGAAACTCTGGAAGAATAATATTGATTTAATCGCCCCGACGGTTGCCAGCGGTTTGCGGGCCACCGGCAGGGCGAACAGAGAAGGCACGCTATGGAAATTAGTATTGTTTCGTGTCGCGGAGTTAATTCGGAACTGTTTCCGCCAATGGACTCTTCCAGAGTTGCATGAAAATTCATAATTGTTAATCAGCGACTAACGTCCGACTGTATCGAGCATAGAACGAACCGTAGCGTATAATTAATGAGGATTAACGTTGCTCGAGTCGCCATTTCTATGACGACGCCGCAAGCCTGGGCTTCGAGTTGGGGAATTTTCGTTGCGTTTTCGAGGGAATTAAATTAATACCCCGGGCTGTACCGGCGTAAAGCTGCAATTTCTGGCGTTAATACTCGCCGAATGAATTTCGTTTCGAACCCTAATGGCGGATTAGGTTAGGTTACCGCGCGTCAAATGGTCGTTTCTGTCGCTGTGACGTATCAAAGGCGGTTAATTTCTTTCGGAACATCGGGGTCGACGTTGAATCGAAATAATCTGACACGATGGAGGTTAATTCGAAAAATAAAATTGGCCCAATTGGTGGTCGTGTGTGCTTTCTGGTTGCGCGGATGGACGAGATACAGAGTGGCGGTCGAGCCAAATGGTGGCCCCGCGATTGGTAGGGGAAACCCCTTTAGCGAATCTGCACGGCCAATTGATGATGCAACTTGAAACGAGTGCGGTCCTCCGTAAAACACGAATTTATTATGCGTTTCGTGCAACGAACGCGTGTTTCAACTTTGCAAAGAGGCGCTTTCGCAACGATTCAGAGCATTTTTTCTGATCGTTGCGCGGGGCGGAGTGATTTGTTGGATCGTGTTCGAACGGGAACTCGACGCATAAAAATAATGACGCGAGTTAATTATAAACCATTTCCATATTCCGACGTCGTTGAACAGGACTTTTGCGTAGTCGTCGGCGCTTGCGCACACACGAGCATGGCGGCGCGGGGCTATCGTTTTTGGACTATCGCGGAAATGGCAGAAAAGATTGCAGAAAGCTCTCGGCCGTTGGGGAAACGAGGTCATCCGCGAATGACAGGAAAGGGAGCGATGATTTTTTAATGTCCACGGGAACGAGTTCCCGGCGATCGTATCATAAGCTCGTTTCGACGAAAGGGACGTTAATTAATCTCAAGAAGCGACTGTCCCCGTCGACGCGCCGCTGCGAGCGAGAAACTAGCTTACAACTTTTTAAATTTATAATTAAACCGGTTCCACTCTCGTTCGTTCTTCCGTTCGGGACATTTACATCGTACTTTGCTTGAATCTTAATAAGCTTAAGACGGGAAAGTTTTCCATTTCCGAGGGCCTCGTTAATATTTATGCCGCGATACATAATTGTTCGAGTACGTAGACAATCTACAATCGTCTTGTTAACAGTAATTGTCGCGTGGCGTAGGCCCTCGCGTGCCAATGTTTCATTAACTCCCTGAATCGCGAACTATGAAAAGCGTTCGTGCCTCCTTCAGCAAAAAAAGAGAAAAAGAAAAGCGTCACGAGCTGTTTTCGAAGATCCAATTAAGATGATTATTTTTTTTTATTTTTAATTAAATAATCCTGAGGAGCTAATCTTCTCACGTGCAAGAAATACTTTTATTATTACTGTAGCGAGACAAAAGAAAGCCCCCACAGATTTTTTTAATGGATGTCCTCATCAAACTGAACAAAATTTTCTTTGCAATGTATTATTATTTAATGTTTGAAGAAAATGTTTTTCTATGCAATTTGAAACGTTAAAAATGTTCTCAAACACGAATAAGAAGTATTTGTATCGACATATTCCATGAAATATTCTCGTTTCCTTATTATTTTCCTAAGTTCTCGTGCTATGGGGATATCCGAGCTTAGCATTTTAAGCAGCCCAACCCTGCGTATCGCGTACGATATGTATTCCCCGTTCAGGACGCGAAACAAATGATGCAGCCTGAACGACTGTACTGTAAGAAGAATTGCTTCGAGGGCTGAAGAAAAATTACCCGTTCAAATTGTGTGTGTTGCATTACATATAGAATCCTTGTATCAGCGTTTTCGCCAAATAGATCCTCCTAAAAAAGAAATCTTGGCTTGGATCAACCACAACCAACCCCTCAGATTTGTTCGAGATACGAGGAAAATTAACATTCTTTTTTGGTCAATATAAATAATAAAATAATTTTGCATCAACTCCTGTTATTATTTATACTGATCAAAAAAAGAATATTAATTGTTCAATTTTTTTTTTTTATTTATTTAAGGTTGCGTTCTATATTATGTGGCTTGTATCATTTTCAATTTTGTATTTTTACGATGAAAGACATTGCATTAAGAAATAACATGTTTCATTAGGTGTGATTGAATTTAGTGTACGGTTAAATCACTTTGCAGAGTACTCTAGTTTTGAGCACCGAAACTATCATCGTTTTGATTGCCGACACATTTGTAACTCTCGTTAACCAACAGCATTGCGACAAGCAATTAAAACTAACTGGCAGAGTGGTTATTCGATAAA